TATCTAAGTTTATCATTTAAAGTGAACATTAGATAAGGGATATGATACAATACTACACAAATATAACATATTTTATGGGCATCCCTTTTCTCTTTGATACATTTCTTAGCAATGTTAGTTAAATGCAATGTACCTGCATACAAATAGGTCCAGAGGTGTCAGGACTTTGAATCATATTTGTATTATGGAGGAAAAGTGATGATACATTTATTAACTTAAAAAAAAGAACCAGTACACATAGGTAGCATCTATAAAGGAAATATAACCTACCAGAAACACAATACATAGCCAATTTTCAAAAAATAAAAATAATCTTTATGTCAAAAGCTGTAGGGGAAAAATGGCTCTTCATTTTCATGTCTACTACAAAGAAATATTGTTTTTCTCTGGCTTAATTTGAGCTATTTTCTGACACTGTAATGAAAAAGAAGTCTACATTGTTCTACATACCTATTGTCACTATGTAAAACTCAATAATGCTAAAAAGGTCCAGGCAGTTTAACCCCCTCTATCCTTTAAAGATATTTATAAAACCATCTGCTTGTTCTGTACATCTATTTATATTTCACCGAAAATAGTAAGGTTTGGAGAGTTCTGTTAGACATGATTCCCTTGTGCAAAGGGCTATCTTAAAATGACAGGATGGCCTATCAGACTTGAAATGCTTCAGCCTTTTGGTAGACCAGATGTATCTCTGTTATTTAAGGTTCTTCTAGGCTCTAACTCCGCAGATACTAGAGGATATGGTAATTGTTTAGTAGAGCCCATTTATGTCCATTAGAGCCAAAATAGGTTTGCACACAATGCAGAAAAAAAGAAAACTACTTAGTTTTAATTCTACAAGTCAAATTTGAGAAAATAATAACGAGCAGATAAAAAGTATTCTTCCTTACAAATCAAATAGGATGATTGATTTTGCTTGATTTCTAGTGAAGAGAAAATGCCAGCATTTTCTCATCATTGCCCACCATTCACCAAGCACTGCTTTGTTAAAATGTTTCTGTTAACAAACATGAATAATAGTATGGCCAGTCTTCTTGTAAGATTAAAAAACACAATAAAAGGCCAGTGAGTTGGTACCTTTCTCTAGAGGGAAGAGAAAGTCACAAGACAGGGAGAATGATGGGAAGCATCCTTTGAGTCATGCCACCCTGGAAATGAGGCTTTTAGGACTGCTGTGCCTCACAAATTGCAGCCTTCACAAGGATGCCTGTTTTCCAAATGTCTCTTTCAACCAACACATTTTCAGCCTAACATTTGTCAAACCTCTTCTTTTGTTAAGAGTTACCTTGTCAGCTTTTAAAATGGCTTGCGGTTCCTATCTACCTTCCTTGACGGAAATGTGAAAAGTGTGAGTTACTCCCTTTCACAAAGAATCTTGTCAAGGATCCTGACTCCAATCTGACTTTGTCTGGGGAAAAAAAAAAAAACCTACCTTTTGGAAACTTAAGTGGTGACTCTTCTATTATAATTCTGCTTCACAGAAATAAAAGAGGCCAAACAAGGAGAAAACAAGCACAAAACAGAAAGTTAAGAGGTGACTGTTTAACCTAACAATAGTTCAGAAACACTAACGTGCTTGCAGCATTTTATGTTCAACAATCTGAGCAAATTTTATTTTACTTTAACAGAGGGAATAACTTACAATGAACGGGGGCAAGGTAAAGCACCACCCAGTGTGTTCCCTTTGCTGGAAGTATGATACAAGAACAAAGAGCAATCTCCCTGAGAAATGAGGGGGAGGACATGATCAATGCCCAGAATGTGCTCAAAAGAGCGACTCTTGCAGAATGATACCTTCTCATCCTCCCAGCCACACCTACCCACGTCTCTTCCTGCTTCACTGCACTAGTTCCTATCTTCATCAAAGTAAATCATCTCAAAGTATTTTAATTCTTCCTGAACACTGACTTCACTGTTTTGTTTCACATGCCCATATCTCCTCTTGGAGTTCATTAGAGATAATCCATCTTCCTCTGTCAGAGCCCTAGACTAAGGAAGCCTCTGGTGTTCTAAAATGTACTTAGAACACCAAGGTCGCTGTGAAAGTTGACCACAGATCTGAATGAAAAGGAAACATGCTGCTACATCCTTTGCTGCTCTCCTTCAACTAATGGGTCAATAGGTTAGAAAAATGGAAAAAAAAAAAAAAAAAAAAAGGAAGGAGACTCACTGGCATTGTAAGTGCCAAAACAAAACTGAGATTATGTTCTCCTCTAAAATCAACAGATTTTTTTTTAAAAAAAGGATTTTTATGGAAAGAGGTGTGTATGACTTATATATAAAAGAGACAAGGAAGTGAAGATTAGAAACTACAGGATTTAGAAAAGAGGAAGATACTGATGTGAAATTTGCCTTTTTGTAAAAACAGGAGTATAACGAATAAGTTCCCTTCTTGAAAGTAACTTGTAAATCAGCTTTAAAAAAGTAGTCATGTACTTGCTAATGAGAATAATATTTTTTTCAAATAGGACGGATACTGAAATCCTCTAATTATGAAGTTGCTGCTTAAAAAATTGGAGAATTAAGTTGGGTTCTAGTTACATAAGGATATACTAAGATATGTCTATTTCTGTAAATAAGGACCTTACATTTAAAAGTCAGTAAAACACAGTGATGGCATTTCTGCATAAGAACTTTTTAGAAAAGACAGAGTTTGACACTGTGTCTTACTTAGCTTATAGTCAATGAGTTTGGCTAATATATTTGATAAAGGAGTGGAAGATAGACAGAAATCTGAAATGTAGGAAGTGGTGAGCATTCTTCTCTTTCCCAAGGAGGACAGAGGGGGACAAGTTTGAAGGACGCCACCGAGAGTCCCTGCCCTTGAATGCCTGGTAAGTGTGATCTTCCAGCAAGGCTCCCATTGATTTCTCTAAAAACAGTGAGCAGGGTACCTACAAAGGGGACAACAGCTCTCCTATGCTTACTTAAGCTTTTTAATGTTGATTTAACTATATTTAAGTAATGTAATTCTCCAGAGGAAATCCAGCACAGAAAAAGTAAGTTGGGAGACAAATTGCTTAGATTACTCTGATTTTCAAAGACAGGATGCTCATAAAAGAAATAAGAATATATGCATCAAATAGGTTACTGATTAAAATGTGCCATAAATTCCCTTTCAAAAAAGTCTACCAATGAACTCAATAAAAACAACATCCCTCTCATTCATCCAAAATCCTAACCATGTTCAAGAACATAAGTTTGTAACAGCATATAATGGTGATTAATTGCCTAATAGTGATTCTGAGGTAACACAAAAATCTATAACCCCACAATTTAATCTTTTAAAATGGAATTAAAATTAGAAGCACTTTCATATACCACATATTCTAATTCTCTGTAAATTATAAATTAATGTATGATAAAATAAAAAATGGTTAACCAGAATAATAAAGAATATTTCCTCTAATTCTGGATTAGCAGGAGCTTGTTTGTATATTTTTCTGTAGGTTAAAATATACACAATGATTTTCTAAAGAGATAACTTACAATCCAAGCTCTATGTAGCCTCCCATTTACTAAAAAAATCAGACCTCTAACTAAAACCAATGATAGAAGTGATTAACAATTTTAAAGGAACAAAATGAATAATCTGCTAATTTGCAATTATATTCCACACATTTTCATAATCAATTAAACTAATTTCCAAGGCAGAGCTACATTCATATTTAAAGAAACTATGTATCTATAATAATTACACATAACTATGTGACTCATGAAACAACACACATTCTAAACTTCTCTCATTTTACTCTTAAGGTAAGTCTTAAGATATAAGGTAAATGTCAGAGTATTATCTTAAAAGAAATCTAAACCATGTTTCAAAGCTGTTTTCCTATGTGAAGATATCATTTTGGCAATTTTAGTCTAGTTTTTAATGCCATTGTTTTTAAGCTCATCTCCTATGCAATCATGTCAGATGGGAATAGGACCACACCAAGCCCTTGATGTGTGACCAGGCACATGGTATTTGGGAAAGAGGGCTATAGAGACCCACTGGCAGTTTATAGGCAGGAATTCTGCTATGTCAGACAGTACAGGCCTGCTGCTCAGCACCTAGTTCATGGGGTCTGTGCTGAGCAGGCGAATTTTCCTGATGCCAAGAAAAGCAGACTCCTAACTAAACATGACCTTCAATGATCTTCCATCTAGTCTCTAAAAGCTGAGCTATTCAATTCTCAAAAGTTGGCAGTAGGTACAAACACAGATTAAACTTCAGTATGGATTGTTTTATATTTTTATATTTGCTTAAAACTAGAGGTTGGTAGTTATCAGCCCTAGCGATCATTTGAACTCTTGAGATAAAGGATGATTTCAATTTGGGGTGGGAGTTTGGGATGAAGATAAAATAATGACAGAAGACAGAACAACCACAGAGCAGGTGGGGATGGAGGACTTCCCTCCCACTCGAGCATACTGAAGAAAAGTGTGGAAAGAGCTAGGTTTTATGGCTGGCTCCCACAGTCGCCCTTGACCTGAGACAAGAACTTGAGGGATTTTGATGCTGTGACTTAAGCTAGCTGATTCCTCCTCCTCTTTTTCTGCCTTTTCTCTTTCTCTTAGATTACCATCTCACTAGAGTAAAAGCTTCTAAAGAATAGAATGATGCTTTCCTAGTATGCTCTCCTGATTTCATAAAAAAACTACTTAACAATTTTGTTCATTACATTTGCTATTCTTTGCATTCAAAGGAGAAAAAAGTTACATTCTGAACTTAATATGCCTGGTGAATTTCCTTGGGGCCATGAATATTCATCTCATTTAATACCTTGAAAATCTTCTTAACAAAATTGGTATAAATTCCTTCTGAAAATGCCAATTAAAAATAATCTATAAATAACAGAGACAATTACTAAATGTAGTTATTAACGAAATGTTTTAAAATGCTATGAACTAACTAGCACCACTATGACAATGTCACATGACATTTTAAAACTGTGTAATTAAAATACTATAACACCACAGCATAGTATTTTAGAAAATCATAGTCTACTTACTATTTATATGTTTCAGAACGGATATATTCAAAAACGTGGGAAACACCAAGTTGAAACTGATCAGCAATAGGGGTAACCCAGGGGTTGTTCTCTGCTTTGAAAACCTGCTTCTGACCAGTTAAATCCAAGTTTCCTGAAAAGATGGAAGGACAAAAAAGGTGAAGGTCATTTCATCCAATACAAACCAGGTCTAAGAAGTTCTACCCAGTGACTACAACCACCCTGAGTACCTTTTGGCTCATGTGATTTTTAAAAAATTTCTTACCCCAAGTCATCAGTGGTATACAATGTTAGTTATAGTACCCTGGCCCCAGAAATTAGGAACAAAGAAAGGGAGAAAGGAAAGAAGGAAGTATAAGTAAGTAAACTTGAAAGGAATTCTTGCAAATATAGCATATGCTTTATTTTTCCAGATGTTTGCTAGAGAGACTAAAATTACCCACTCAAGATTGAAAGAAATGATCATATCAGAACCTCCTGAAAGTCTGTCTTGACAATGTGCATCACCATTGTCCAATCTGATCTAAACCCAATCCTATCAACACCACTTTGCATCAAGTAGAACATGTGAGAAGGAAGATGAGAACATTGCCCAAATAAAAAGTATTACTGCCATTACTCAGGTACTATATGCACATCTCAGAATCAGCACTAAATGGATCTTATTAACATGGGGAGGACAGAAACTCACATTTGTAAAGCTTTTATCCTTTCATTAGGCACTTTTAAAAAGGATTTCCTCACTTGATTCTCCAGCAATCTCTAAAGTCAGTAATTAACATCACTTTATAGGTGAAGAAATGGAAACTTGGTGAAATTAAGTAATATGTCCGAGATTAGAAAATCTCCAACTGGGAATTTGAACCTAAGGCTTCTGCAAAACTAATTCTTTCTGTGATGTCTGGTGAAGCTAGCAGATTACATTCAATCTAGATTAACCAAGAATGAGTTAAGGAAGGTAGCATTAAAAACGCAAGCAAATGTTACAGGGCAGTGGGCTGTGGGATTCCTTGGTTCTTGTCTTCTTGAAGGAAAAGATTCAGTCGAGAGACTGGATAGAGAGTTAAAGCTGCAGACAGTTTTTTATTTAGCAAAGTTAAAGGAAAGTATGCTCCAAAGACAGGAGATCAGGCTGACCTCAAGGGTGGGTAGCTGCCAGCCAGGATTTACATTGTCTTTTTATGGGGATTTATTTGGTTTCCTCCCTCCCATTCTGTCATTCTTACATCATCCTTTGGATCTGCCTTGGTTCCTCTCCCTCAGCCTCTTGGCAAATTTGTGTTTCTCATTTTTTCCATGAGCACCTTAGTGAAACCCACAGTGGGGGCAAACGGCAATGTAAATTACATAATGATGGTATTATGATGGCCTAAGGGTTATTAGCAGACAGGTTATGCTCCAAAACTCGGGAAGTCCCAGTGACCCATATCTTTTGCTTATCAGTTTGTGCTGAACCGCAAAGAGGTTAGTCTACAGGAGACAGGGCGGTCTCTAGGCTGAGACTGGGTGGTCTGCCACCCTTCTTTCTCCCGTCCTGCCCATGTCTATCTAACTGCCTACCCTAACACAGTGCCTAAATATCACCTACTGCTGATCAGTTGACTTTTTTTCTTTCCCTGTTTGGTAAATGTAAAAATGGAAATGGTGGTGTGTGAAAGAGCTTCCTCTAACATGCTGGCCTCTGGAAGAGATGGGGACAGAGAAGTTAAGCAGCACAGTCCTGGACAGCAGACTCACTGAAGCCCTTTGCCTAAAACTTCCATGGAGCAAGACCATCTTCAGACCCCTGGTCTATAGTTGAAGGTTACCTGAACAGACACCCAGCAATTATTCTTCCCAAAACACATTCAAGGTAACCTCTTTGCCCTGTTCTGAGACTCTACTGCCAAGTTTGTCATAAATGATCACTCAGGATGAAGAAAACACATTCTGGGAGGCAAGTACCATGAAGCTCATAAATTCCTAGCTGAGCCAAGCTCTAGAAATGAAAAGATAAATGAACATTTCTATTAGAAAGATGATGTACTATTTCTTCATGAAACAAAATAATTGCTATTTTGAATCTGCCTTCTTTTTGTTATATGAACTTGTAACCAGTAAGTCAGAAAAATGGAGAAGAGACCAACATAAAAGTGATTATAATTTCATAAAATGCTTTTGAAGAAAAGATATTACTAAATATTACGAGTGAGTAATTCACCATAATCTTTCCAAAGCTACTTAGAATCTGTTGGTGTTAAGTTAAAAAATAAGCAGATACATTTCTCTCCAATATTGTCAATTTCCACATCTTAATGGTTAGACATCATTAATCAGATATTAAATCATTTGGTAAATTAATGGGCTTTATTCTCTAAAACATGAGTCAGAAAACTGTCAAGGCATATGAAAATTCAGGAGTTGCCTGTATTCTGCCTAGTGGTATCTCACCAGAGTGTGACCCTGTCAATGACAGGCTGCCAATTGTCCTTTTTTTGTTTTTATTTGGGGAGGGGAGTTAGCTCCCCAAGAATGAAACCAAGATCATTTAATTGTGTTATAATTCTTACCTTCTCACAGGATCACATCTGTGATACTGTATGTCTTCTCTACCATGTTTTTCTGGTCTTATTAATTCTCTTATTCTTTTATTTCCAATTTCTGCTTTTCTTAAACATGAATACAATAGAAATTTTTGGAAAGTCTTTCATTTAAACACAAGCCTGTACTTCTGAAGTGTCCTCTTTTAAATGCACAGTGTATAAATGGCCCACTGTTCTCGGGAAGCATGGCCACGCTGAGGGCAGGGCCTACATATCAGACAATAGTAACCAGGGTATAGCAACTGACGGATAAGTTGGGGGTGGAGGCACAAGAGGTGAACACATTTCCTTAAATACAATAATAAGCATATCATCACCTTCCTGCCACCAAGTCCTGCCCACTGACATAAGCATGGAATCAACAGTGAAAAATATTAACTGCGATCTTTGGAGAAATATATGTATTCCAAAACGAGTAAGAGGAAAAGAAAAGCATAAATTGCATAAGGAAGCAAACCAATTCCCAAGCAAAGGTAATCTCTCTGCCCTAGTTATCTTTTCTTCTTTTCCCCCAATATTGCTTATTCTAATGAGAGATACACTCTGAATTTCTAATGGGTAAAAATTTTTATTCTCTCTGTTGAACAAGCAAGCACTCAGGACTCTCCATCATTCATTCATGTATTACCACAAATTAACTCTTCTGGATCACTTTCCTCTGTGATGGACTGATTCAGATGGGGGATCATGGGAAAACCACCTTTTTTGGGGGGGTGGGGGGAAGAAGTTACTTTAGTGGTAACTGTATTTGCAGCACAAAGCACCTCTCACCATGCTGAATTCTCAGGGCACTTGGTCAGTGTGAGAGCGTGCAGACCAGGAAAGGCTCTAGGAAGGACCCCACAGACAAGCCTCAGCTATTCCTAATTTGCCAGGGATGACTTCTACAGGACAGTGACAGAAAGATGACTCTTCTTCCCCAGGCTGCATCACAAACTTCCCTCCACCAGAGTCCAGGGTTGCCTTAATAATCCAAAAGTACAGTATATCACGAGTGAAAAGTTTGAATGGATTGTCCCTGAACTTAAGGTACAGGTGTACATTGTTATAGGAAAGAAGGGCCTGCATTCTACCACTGACAACCCATATAGCCTCTTTGGGATGTATACAGTCTCCTGTTAACTTATTAACAGCCCCTTACTAAGCATGTAGCCTTTTAGTGGCAATCCTCACAACCCATATAGCCTCTTTGGGATGTATACAGTCTCCTGTTAACTTATTAACAGCCCCTTACTAAGCATGTAGCCTTTTAGTGGCAATCCTCAGACAATAATAAGCAAGTTCTGTGCTCCCTGATTGCCACGCATGGAAGACAGACCTAGGGGAATAATGCCAAGAAAGGTCAGCCATATTCTCTGGGCCCTTTGTCTGAAGCCCCTAACCCCCCAGAGATCTGTCAAGCCCTGGCAATGTCTCTATTTACATGCTGTCTGTGGAGACAGAAGAGGCACTAGGGATTGCTAATAAACATCTGCTAACTGGAGCATACAGGAAGCCCTGGATGAGCTAGATGGGGAAAAAATGTCTCATATGATGTCTCAAAGTTGCAGTACACAGAAAGGACTACAGGCTATTCCTGGGCATTTTCATTTACATCACTTCAAATATCTGTACACTCCAGCTGGAGGAGGAAGGGGCCTGGGTTTGCCTCCCCACCCCTATTTGTGTCTTTTAGTATCAAATATGCTACTACATCAGATTCACAGATGCCTCATGAAGCTACCAGAACCAGGGATCAGAGGAGGAAAGAATGATTCAGGTTACTGGGTGGGGGAAGGACCCAAAACAATAGCTTTGTGGGTGATGCGTGCTTTCTTTTTAACAAAGAACTGTGTCCACAGCAAACCTTAAAGCAGCTGACCATCACTGATGACAGAGATGGAAACCACACAAGCCAAAGTGTGTGCTGACTCTCCAGAGTCGTAACCAGCCTCAGTGTAACAGGACAGGCTGATTTGTTCCCCGACTTAATGTCACTGGTGGATGACACAAGACCTGCCTCTGTGCAGCTGTAATCCTCCCAGCTGGCTGTCCGTCTCTGGCTTCCTTAGTCCTCTGAGCGCCAGCCGGGACACAGTCATTTCAGAAGAGGGTTTATATAATTAGAGTAAAGCTAGGCCATTATACTGTGTGAAAAGATGACACCCATCTCATACTGGCTTAGCAACAAGTTACCCTTGCCTCAGCAAAGCTCATCCATCAGCTGTCTGAGGTAGGTTCCCTTTTAAGTAATAAGACGCAGGAAGCATCTCAGCCCGCCCGCCAGGCTGCGGCTGCCCCACTGCTGCACGCTTCAGCGCGTCTAGTTAGCAGCCTTCAGCCATCTCCTTTCTTAGAAGCCCAAGCAGCACTCTGGTGGTGTTCTAACAAGGATCAGGCAGCAGGATTAAGCACTGTGACAAAGAGGATCTAATAAGCTAGAAAGTGGTGCATCTACAGACACGCTGGCTGGCTCCCAGACATAGATTCACTCCGCTCACTCTTCAGTGGGAAGGCCCGGCCACAGGGGAAGCCAGCCCGCACCGTGATTAGCAATGACCCCGTGACCAAT